GACCTCTGAATTCGTAAAGCTTGTCCAAGACAAGCGGCAACAGACCAGTCGGTTTCCCATTTCTGGTGATAAAATGTGCAGGACCTCAGCAATATACCCTCTAAGTGTAAGTACCCAATGAAAAAAGGATTGCGCTACATTGAGATGCACAGATGCAGACCGAACCGCATCAAACAATGTAACGCAACCCACCAATTAAATGCGAGATTCATGCATGTCCGAACCTTTGACCTTAAGTATTGAGAAGTATAAACAAAATAAGGTTGTTAAGCTTTAAAGCATTCTTTGTTAAAATAATTTACTAAAATCAATCTTACCTAAACAAAACAAACATTTAAATTACAGCTAATTGTCTTAAATTCTAAATGGCTTGTCCTAAGATGTCGTTGAGCCTTATTTTAAAGGATGAGTAAATACGAAAACTGAGAAGACCTAGCCGTAGCTTTCCGAGATTCCCCACAGCATGAAAAAAGGCAGTAAGTGAAGCTGGATATATACATTTCAAAGAGGACAAAGCATCTGAGCCCGAGCGGGACCCGAAGGCAGCCCACGAGTACATGTATTCCACCTCACTTATGCCTTCTTCCATCCTATGGGAAGCTTCGGGACGCTACACTGATGGCAGTGAAAATCTAAACCGACGTTTTTTAATGGCTTTTAAATATAAAGTGCTTTTGAAGAACTGCTGCAGCCGAGAGGGGATCTCTCTCTGCTGCTTGTTCTTCGCTGGTCGTCTTTTAAAGGCGACATAGTATCCGAGAAGATATATTGCTCTACAAACACCACTGTCTTACTGACATCCTACTTTTGCGTTGCTAAACCTCGCCAATTAATCGACTGATTTCCGGAAAAGAACAGTACGAACAAACCGACGGGCAATGGTTCGATCGGATGATGCACTGGTTCAACACATACAAATACCCCAAAATCGGGTTCTCTCAGCCAGAAAGTCGAAACTCCTCTTTTTACGACAAGAAGGATATAGTCCAACCAGCAGACAAGAGTGCAAAGTAGTTCCACTTTTTTAATCGAGGAATTCAGGATTGATAAGCGCATTCTGGCAATCATGAGCTATACATGCGTGGAAGTCTGACTCTATTGAAATGCAGTAGATGAAGATACAGGCGAAAAGGGGACGTGAATTAAAGGAGGCGCATTTACCTTGGTGGTGGGCGAACCCCCAAATCCTTCACAACGAAAGGATTTAGACTGACGTCTGCATTTGGTTTCACCTTATTCCCGTCTTGCACAGACAAGCTATTAACAACTGAAGCGACACGGCCGTGAACCAGCTGGAGAAGTTTCGTGTCAGAGATTCTCATACAAAATCCGTGTTTAGGTGTCGAAAATGCCACTACGGTTCTTCTTACTTACGGGACAGTGGCTCAACCCGATTTCCCTCTAACATATATTTTTTAGACCAGAATTACACTGTCTACTCCTGGAAGCAATCGACGGTTAACAGGTGCAGGCGGCCCCGAATCTGTATGTCAGACCGAATGTGACTCCAGATCCAGTTGAAGCTGCCGAGGAGACCAGGTACGGTTCCTCAGTCTTGTGATGTCTGTCGACTGGTGCGGTTGGCTCGTGAGTGCTTTCATATAGTGCCAATTGTGTTGCGATGGCTTGCGCGGGAGGTGCACCAAAGGAGAGCGCCGAGGACGCCGCTCAAAAGAAGAGAGGGGCAGTGTAATGCTTTGCTTGTGTGACTACCTGACGTTTGGTGGTCAATTTAAAATTTGTCTGGTTCCTGTACACGTGGGCTGATCTTCGGGTCACGCTCACGCCCCATTTGTCCTGTCGTCTTTGGAATACATGTATTCCACCTCAACTATGCCTTCTCCCACCGGGTGGAAGAAGGCAGTGAATGAAGCTGGATACATGTATTCCAAAGAGAACGAATCGACTAGGCCTGAACATGGTTCAAAGGCAAGCCCACACTTCTGAGGTCCAGGCAAATCTTAAAGCGACCACCTCAAGTTCGGTGGTCACATAACCAAAGCAGTTGACTGCAATTAATTGAAATAATATTGCTTGTTTAGCGGTGCTGATAAATCGTTCAACACACATCTATCACAACCCCCACAAATAATCTCGCTATTTTGCTCCGAACTTTAATACCATGGTCTTGTCCTCTAGGACCGTTCGCATAAACCCTTAAATGACAATAAACTCGGTTTAACGCCAATAGTTTTAGAGGGCAGTCGGCATAATTTGGCACCTGTATTTGAATAAAAAGGCAGAAGCAAAGCTATAGTTTATCTCGAATTTCAGCCTATGCGGCCAAAGCAAAATGACTGCCGATCACATGGGTAGGAAAGCAATGTATCGGGTAAATTATTCAGGCTCCACTTGACGAATTTTGGCCAAGGTGAATAAGAAAGCCTTCTGCCCCAACAGGAAGGGAGCGAAACAGCACGAGAATATGTAGTGGAGTTCGTGAGTCCAAAATCTTCAGAGGGGGTTAAAATATATCCCTTCATTCACCTCACTGTCCCTAAAATTTTGGCACAGCAACCAACACAGAGTAAATAACTCCAGTCTTGGGTTAAGTACCTTAAGAACATCTAGGGCGCAGGGCTCATGGTCAGATTAAGGCTAAGTACAAACCACGGTGATCTCCAATCCACAATGGCAACGTGTGAAAACCGAGTATGGCCACTCGTCAGGATGAAGGCTTGCGGTGCACTTACTGTGACCTACGCTCCATCCATTCAAGACTGTGTGGGTGCTCTCGAGACTTACTGCGCCATCCAACCTATACTTTTGATGCGCGCAAGCGTGCTTATCTGAATCGCGACGCCATCAAGAGCACACGTCATTTCTATGGTTATCCGTCAAGGCGATCAGCAACGCACCAGCAGCACCATGACAGCGACCGCTCACATTGCCATTTATTCCCTATAAGCTGCCTTCGGTGTTTCGTATTTGAAACTGCGGTATCTGCATCTAGTCGGACATTGGCTCTACCGTGTATCCACTGGGACATGAAAATAGACAAAGAAAGAGAACCTGTAATAATTTGAAGTTAGATAAGACCATCGTTGCTGATGTCCAGAGGAGATTATACGTCCCTACTCAAATCATTTTACAGGGAAACCAGTCGAGAACGTGTAAAATAACGCAATTGAGTCACTGACTATCATCCAGCCTAGCACAACATCGTGGTCGTTAACACATAGATTAAAGCCCCTTTTTGCGATCGTGCTGAATCAGAAAGATCCAAGAAAGCAACTCAATATTTCAAAACAATACCCCAAGAGGTTCAAATAGAGTTATTAATGAGCTACCAGCAACTAGGAAACGGTTATTCAATCTCATTCACTCCCAAGAAGCTTACACAATGATCAACAACACACAGTGATTTGCCTCAGCCCTGCCTTACCAATGGGCCAGGTGGGCATACACATTCAACAGAAGACATAAAGTGCAGGCTCTCTTCAATGGGAACACAACAGAGCTCACCATTAAAATCGTCCAGGTAAATACGCAAGCATGAATCACTTGTAACAAGAAAGAGGAGAATGAGAATCAATAAAAGCTCAAATGAAGCAATGAGGAACCAACATAACTTGTGACTAACACTGAAAGAACTGCCACTCCCAAACATCAGAAGCGCGGCCAAAGTGTCGATCGGAAATATTTTTAGGCAGATAAAAGTGTTTTTCTTCTCAAAATGAGTGAGGCGTAATCACAGGTGCAAAGGGGAAACTTAACGTAAAGTCAAAATTTAGTACAAAACCAGAACTGATGATTAAATGATCCGTGAATTGTCGTAATACCAGCCAGCACTAATGGTGTTTGGTCGGTGAACGCGACGCTGAGTTGCCGTTCCCCATGTATATAGCCAGTAGAGGCAAGCACATACAAAGAAGACAGCGCCAAAGCCAACGTTGAGGAGAGTTGCCCACAGCAGCAAGGTGAAAGCTAGTTGCACACGCCAACTCTGTGACAGCAGACACCACCACCAAGGCAGCTGAAGAGACAAGAAAAGGCAGCTGTAGTATGTTAAGCTTATTCACATATATTAGTGAAAGAGTGTATTCTGCCTCCTGCAGGAGGCATGAAACCTCATCCATGAAGCCTACGTCAGCTTTGGTAATAAAATCAATTCCCGTTCTAGAATCATGTACCATATCATAACTTCAAATAATACTCTACTATCAGTGATCTTCGAACAGTCATTTAGACAATTCCGCGACCTTACCTCACACTGTCAACCACCCTCTACTGAGGCCTCAGCTCTTTCATTTGGCGCCTCGAGTCATACTGTTCTAATACACAATACAATTACGAGAACATACCGAGACCTCTTTGTCTTTGCTGTTCGGTAGAGGGGACGCACTGTTTGACTGTTTTGTGGTCTCCACATGGGAGAGCCGCGTTTGTGGTGGCTGATCACCTCGAGAAGCACGGACCTGTTCCAATTCTTCCCGAAGTTTGTGATAGGTACTCTAAGACCAGAAATAGCCATTTATTAAACAAAAACATGAACGAAGGACTTCGATAATGCACTATATGTACGCCTGCGAGTCAATGGGATAAGGTCAAAATGTAAACTTTATAGAAGTCCTGGAATTCAAGAATAATGGGTATAAAACGCAAAACCAACAGCTTTTGCTCGTACCAACGGTAAGTCAAAAGCGATACA